GAATAGCCATTCCTCGTATAATAACTTGGAAGCTGCTTTCATTCGCTTTTTCTGAATTCGAAAGTAGTTGTGTGCAACCACAAGTTAATTAATTAAATGTCTACCCACAGACACATTTCAAGCATGTGAAGCTGATATCCAAAGCTTCACACGCTTGGTCCTCGTTAAGGGAATACAATCAAGCAAATAACTTTGTACAAACTGCTACATATGTATTTAAACCCTGTGACCATACTGGTTTATCCTGAATTTTTGAAATGGGTTACTAAAACACCTATCACTAACATTTGCATTCGTTTTGCTGGACAGTTAAATATTATATATATTTTATTTTTTTGTTTTCTGTTTAGAGAATTTGTTTTTGTATTTCAATATTAGCAAAAAAAAAAAATCAATTTAATTTGACATTAAAATATATTTGTGACATTTCGCCTACCTGCCAATCAATTATCGTCACATCTGTTGTACACATTTCGTTGGTATTCATAATATTATGAATAATAATATATTTTGTATATTTCTGTCAAAAATTGACATTTTAATTAATATTTTTACGAAAATGTGTTCGTGGATGCTCCGCTATCTATGTAAAGTTTAGTTTTATATTAAGCCAAATATACACATACACAAATAAATAATATTTTTGACACATGTGTATTATTCAATGGTAATTGGGATCGGGAGTTATAGTTGGATAAATTATTTAAATTTAAAATGCTTAAATTATGTTTGAAAGAAAGCAATAATATCGACATTTCTGATGTAACAAATAATGGGGGGATATATGGAAGATACCAAAAATGGGCATATACTGACAATTGTACCAAACGTTAGTTGTAAGGCATAATGCACATGAAATACGATTTTTAGCAATTTTTAATGGGGTTTTTGCCTTAAATCTCAAAACCCCAAACACATGTGTATAAAATCCTTCAATTACAGGAATTTAGAGGGCAAAGTTATATGTGGGGATATACCTAAAGGGCGACACGACATTACATCGTGTAGGAATTGCCGAATATTTGACTTTATCGTTATATGAGTTGCTATTCGCAATTGAGGACCGATATTGCTCCATTTTGAACCTAACATTTTTGCATTACAATACCTTCGTTCACGCTAAATATTATGGGGCTAGGCCTAAATGCGGAAATTCATTCAGGAAACTGACGTTTTAGTTTTTATCTCGATACACTGCGAAGGAAAATGATTACAACATATAGTGGAGAAAGTTGGTACCCAATAAGAACCCAATGTACCAATTTTCAGTTATGCCTAAACGTGGACCGATATAGCTGATCTTCGTACTCGAACTTGACAATTAGCTCAGAGCCTAGAGTAATTACAACAGTCAGACGGACATGCTTATATCGCCAGAGAATTTTACATATTTTCTTTATATGGTCGGAAATGATTATTTCGATTAGTTACAAAAGAAAACACAAACTTAATATACCCTCCATACTATGGTGTAGGGTATAAAAATCGGTTCATATTTTAATATATCTATATATCTGGGAGCTATAATTTTTTCCTATTATATGTAAATGGTGCACCCAACCCTCAATATATGTTTGATTGAGACCACATTTTACATAGCGTACTGAATTACTACTACTAAATTAAGTCTAGAATGACAAGTGTTAAGTTTCGTTGAAGTCAGTGCATATGTTCGTCCGATTTCTTATATATGGTGCTCTAAACTCACATAGTTTGTCCGTTTGGGACAAAATTTGGTATACCGTACTATAATAAGTCTAAAGTGGCGTAGGTTAAGTTTCCTGTAAATCGGATCAGATTTAGATATAGCTTCCATATATTTTTTCGTCAGATTTTATGTATAGGTTGCATATCGTATCAAAATGAGTCTAGAATGATGTGTGCGAAGTTTCGGAAATCGGTTCAGATTTAGATATAGTTCCCATATTTATTACAATCAGATTTTACGTAAATGTTGCAAAAAACTCCATTTTTATACCCTTCACCACACTGTTGTACAGTATATTATGTCTTTGTGCATATGTTTGTAACAGGCAAAAATAATCGAGATAGACCCATGGTTCCTTTTGAGAATATGCATAGAATCACTTTCTAAGTCGATTTATGCATGTCCGTTTGTCCGTCTGTCCATGTTAAATTGTAAACAAAGTACAGGTCGCATTTATGATCCGAATTGGATGCAATTTGGCACAGCTTAATTGTTTGGCCCAAGGACGAACCCTATTGAAATTGGGAAAAATCGGTTCAGATTTAGATATAGCTCCCATATATAGTTTCGCACGATTTTAGGTAACTGAGGTACCAAAGTCCCTTAATATCTTCCGATTTGCACGAAATTTGGTACAGCCTACTCAATAAGGTCTAGAATGATGTGTGCCAAGTTTCGTGAAAATCGGCTCAGAGTTAGATATAGCTCCCATATATATTTTCGTCCGATTTTATGTAAATTGTGTGACAAAGTCCCTATATACCTTTCGATTTGCACGAAATTTGGTATAGCCTACTCAATAAGGTCTAGAATGATGTGTGCTAAATTTCGTGAAAATCGGTTCAGATTTAGATATAGCTCTCATATATGTATTCTCGTCCGAGTTTAGGTAAATGGTGCACAAAATCCCTATATATCCTTCGATTTGCACGAAATTTGGCACAGCGTACCGAACTAGGTCTAGAAAGAGGTGTGTTAATTTTTTATTTATTTATTTTTTATATCGGTTCAGATTTGGATATAGCTGCCATATATATATTTTCGTCCGATTTTATGTAAATTGTCCACCAAAGTCCCTATATATCCTTCGATTTGTACGAAATTTGGCATAGCGTACTAAATTAAGTCTAGAAAGATGTGTGTTAAATTTCGTTAAAATTGGTTCAGATTTAGATATAGCTCCCAGATATATTTTCGAAGCTCCCAGATATAAATGAAGTCTAGAAAGATATGTGTTAAATTTCGTGAAAATTGGTTCAGATTTAGATATAGCTCCCAGATATATTTTCGACCGATTTTATGTAAAAGGTGCACCAAAGTCCCTGTATATCCTCCGATTTGCACGAAATTCGGCACAGCGTACTGAATTGAGTCTAGAGTGATGTGTGTTAAATTTCGTAAAAAACGGTTCAGATTTAGATATAGTTCCAATATATATTTTTGTCCAATTTTATGTAAATTGTGTATCAAAGTCTCTATATATCCTTCGATTTGCACGAAGTTTGGATTTATAAGTAAATGAAGAACTCAAAATAGTGCCGAGTGCTCAGAACATACTGATATAAGTGTAACCTAACATGTGACAAGTTTCTATGAAATCGGTTTAGATTTCGATATTTTGCTTTAAAATTATTTATATAATTTTGTCCCATTTTAAGAAGCAACTCTATATCTGACCAAAATTTAGTATAGGTTGCAGAATGACATGTTTAGTTTCATGTTAATGGTCCTTCAAAAATTCGATGTCTGTTAGGATTCCATCTGTTGAATATACCCAAAGTGGTGAAGGGTATAATATAGTCGGCCCCGTCCGACTTTACTACTTTCCTTACTGGTTTTGTCCCATTTTGTACAGTGTACTGATTTATATTTAGAATGGCAAGTGTTCCGTTTCGTTGAAATCGGTTCAGATTTGGATATACCTCCTATATATAACATATTTTCTTTCGATTTACACGAAATCGAGCATAGCGTATCAAAATGAGTCTAGAATGATGTCTGCTGTGTTTCGGTGCAATCGGTTCAGATTTAGATATAGGTCTCGTATATATGTTCATCCGAATTCTATGACTACGAGGATTTTCCCAAACCTCCCTAGATACCAATATTTTATCATAAAAAATTTTGCAATGCAAGTCCGGACCGCTTAGTGCCAAGTCCGGACCGTATGGCGGATGCATTAAAACTTCCCAACCAAACTCCCAAAGTACATGGCGAGTCACTGTAGATGTGTGTGGCCTAGCGTTGTCCTGATGGAACACGACACCTCTCCCGTTGGCCAATTCTGGCCGTTTCTAGTCAATTGTAAATTTTTTAAAACAGTTTATGGTAAATTTTTGGCTCCTGGGCGATGTTACGACTGCTAACATGCCGGTCAACTTCGATCATTTCTCCGACTTTATCGACCGGCCTATCTGTGCGAGGTGCATCTTTAACATCAAAAATTCCTGAACGGAATCTACGAAACCAAAATTGCACATAATTGGCTGTTACAGTATCGGAACCATAAACACCATTCCCAATTTTAGCTTGCATATTCGTCTTTATCAAAGAAAACCTGTAAAATGTACCAAATTTTCTCTTTGTTCACTTCAATATGTAACATCCTGTAACTCATAACTGAATGCACAGCAAACTAATTTTAATTACTGGGCTCTAGGGACAGCTTCCCGCCGAATTCACTTTTCCCAGAATATTTTCAATTTAAGTATATGCTTCTACATAGCTTCGTTACAAATATCATGCAGTTATTTCGGTATATTTAAGGTCCAAGGTAAATTTTCCAACCTGAGGGTTTGTAGCTTGGACTTAATTGTCTCCTGGCAGCAATTTACTATGGGATTTAAATTGAATATTATGAATGTGCCTTCCAGTGAAGGGTGTGAAGACTTTTTTTGAAGAAAACAGTGTTTATGATTGCCATATGATATCTACTATACAATTTTTGGGATTCTATTTTTATTTATTTCATTTCATGGGAAAATGACTTTTATTTAGTTCTTTGTGTTCTCAATTTCTTAAGTGATTCTACGAATTTGCATTTATTGTTGCTAGTAATTTGTTAAGACCACTTTTCGAACCTACATGCCAAAACCACGCTATTGAATTGGGAGCTACCAAAAATATTCATCCGAAAAATTGCTTACAAAATTTGCAATGGTCATTGAATTAGCATATTAATGTTTCTTAGTTACAATATAGACCAATTACCACCTGCTACTGTTACACCATCCTATGTTACATAAACAAACTCATATAAAAATATGTTAAAATAAATTTAAGCAATTCATACCTCAGGCTGTGTTTCTCCATGCACAATACACACAAGCATTGCCTCATGACCTTCCCCAGAGAAGACCACTGGACGTTCCACATTGATTTCTGGAGGATCTATACGAATAAAATTGTAGTGCAAAAAATGGTACAGAAAATAAAAATTAATTTTCAATAACCCACATGTCTGATAACGATTACAATAATAAACAAACAAGAACAAATAAAAAAGGAAAATCGAAAATTATTAAAATAGAATACAATAAAAATATATTCTAATGGTTTCCTTGCCAGGGGATACGGCCAGAGGTTATTGTAATGACCACCAACCATATCGCCCCTACGCAACCATGAATTTCATTCGTTTGGCTGTTCGTTTCATTAGCATACTTACATAAAACATGTAAAATCACTTGACTGGAGGCCGGTTGACCCACACCATTATTAGCTGTACAAATGTAAACTCCACCCTTGTGGCGATCCACATTTTCAATTGACAATATATGCGAATGGAGTTTTTCCTCGCCTGTGGTGCCGCATAGTTTTCACAATGGCACAAAAAAAGTTCCACCAAAGTTTGGGCAGGCATCAGGGGAGTCAGAAAGACATACAGAGAAAGGGAAAGAAAGAAAAATACCAACAATAAAGAAAATCATGAATAGCTAAAAATTACCATAAAGGAAATATTTACTTTTCAAATAAAAATGACCCTTAAGATTTCACAATTTTTTTTTACACAATGTTCTAATATTTTATTTAGGTTTTGTTTTTCTTGGAATTTTGTCTATGTTCTTGGCTCATTAACATATTCACAGTTAAGGAGAAAAGATGTGAAAAATGAAGAAACAACAACAGCAACAAAAATCTTACCATTGGGCAAAATATTATTTTTACGGCTCCATGTAACGTTTGGTGTAGGATTACCAGAGGCTGAACATTCTATGCGAACCGAAGAACCTTTTTTAACTTGCAAATGACCGCTGCTGCTCATATGATGAATCCTTGGTGGTACTACAAATTTAATGGGTAATAAAAATAAGAAGAAGAAGAAAAGAGAAAATAAAGGAAACTTTATAATGATCATACTGGACATAGTTGTTGTTGTTTAATATGCAAAATAGTTGTGTAGTAATAGATATTTAGGTCGAAAATATTCTTAAGTGTAATTTAAACAAACTAAACTTTCATTGATAGTAAAAAAACTAGACGGGGTATATTTTCATAGCTTGGACAATATTTAGAAAGTACTAGAATTGTGTCGTTCCGGAACGAAATATTCCGAACTAGGAACGATCGGAACTAAGCCCGTTCACCTAGTCCATTATGCGCTAGTCGTTCCTTCTTGCTCTCGTTCATCTAGTTCTTTTTACTCCGTCGTTCTTTTTTGCTCTTATTCTCCCAGTTATTTTCGCCCCCGTTGTGTATTTCTAACATTAGTTGTCTCTTTCTTCTATTTATGAATAAAATATTCCGTGTAATAAACGTTGTACATCATTCAAGCACAAAAGAAGAAGCATGAACGACTGTATTGACCGAACGAACTGTCGTGTACCAGTGAACGAGTGAACTAAGAGGAAATATGAACTAAAGGAACGACCTAGTTCCTTTTGCGGTGCGAACCGTAAAAGATCGAACCGCTCAAGGAACTAGATTGCCCAACCCTAGAAAGAAAATAATTTATAAAATATTCAGAAAAAAAACAACGTATCGACAATACATATTTGTACCCTCAACACTATTATATATCGAAAATTAATGTTCATCAACATTTTGTTAATTTTATGTTGGAGAAAGCGACCGATATTTCCCATTTTCGAACTTCATGACAGTTTGACAGAAATATTTGCAATGTGCAAAGTTTGAACGAAATCTATCACTCCCTTCAAGTGTTATCAACTGCAACGTGTCCGAAACGGATTTCGTCCAATGAAAGTTTAGGTCTGAGCCCAATATTTGTATTGTATTTGTAATTCTAATTAACAATAATAATTCTGAAGTTATTAAGTTCAATAATTCACTTAACGATAGCTTTTTTCCGCATATTTGACTATGTAGCTCTAAGTGAATATAGGCCCACTTTGAATTTTTTTTACTCCTCTAAGAAGATAATTGATATACTGATTCCGCCCTATGTGACAGGGGTGACATCTATCGCTGCATAAAAGCATAGCCTATTTAGTTTTGTAAATTTCGTCTGGGTGGTGCTATCTCTTGCCATACGCCTGTATAATTCAAACTCTAGATTATCAGATTCAATAATAAAAATAAAAAAATTGCGCATATTTCCGCCATTACAAAAAGGAGGAGAGTTTGTTATTGAGATAGAGAAAAAGCCAATTTTTTCAAGAGAGTCCTGGGAAAATAGACTTGATGGGCAAGAGAGGGAAAAATATTACTAAAGACAGATTTGAAGAACTGCAACAACTTGCATCCAGGATTACGGATAAACAAATCAATTTCGAACTGAAGGCAGAAATAAAAAGAAACCCTGTAGTTTAGGGAGGCAGGATCTATGTGCCAGTTGAAGAAAAGGGAAGATGACGGAAGGGATCTTAGAAAACAGGAACAAGAAGTCGATCGAAAAAAGTAGAAATTCTAATGTTTAGGTCGAAGAAGAGATTTTTGATGGGGTAATGTGAGGTTAGGTTAGGGATGTACGGTTGCTAATTAGTAACCGTTCAATCAGAGACATTTGTCCATTATGTGATCATCCTTGGTACCCGAAAAGAAAAAATAAAATAAAAAGATAGTCGGAGTTGAAGAGCTTAGAAAACTTGTTATTTTTGCCATGTCAAATTCATGACAAAGCCTAGGATCTGTTTGGGGTATATTTTGGAGAAGAAAGCTATGTTATCAATCTCATACCTTCTAAACTGTCTGTGTTTTCTGCCACTCAGCGATGGACACCTACAGAGGATATTTTCAATTTTTTTCTAGCACCTCTTCGTTCTCACATAGACGACAGTATTCCTCTCCTTTGGTGTCCCATTTTGAAGAGAGAGATTTGATCCTGCAGTGGCCTGTTATGACCCTCACAATGTACCCCGTCACAACGCAAGACGATAAACCAACCTCCTATTGAGAGTATTGTATTGTTTTCTGAAAGTTGTCTAATTTTAGAAAGCCTTAGGTGGTAACAAATTGAAGGGGCCAAATGCCTAGATTAACGGCGTATCATGGAAATGAGAAGTAAAGTCTGATACAGATTGACCTCAAGAGGAGACAGCTGTAAGTGTGAACACAGCTTATTTTAAAGAAATAAAAGGAAATGCTGTAGTGAGTATTCCTTCTGTCAATGTCCGAGCAAATAAACATCTTAATCGTTAGAAAAGTAAACCTCCGACGCTGTTGACTGGGTAATGAAAGTCGTAGATGAAGGTGGAGGAACTTCTGTTGGAGGCTCTATAGACAATTGGCTGCGACGAATCATGGGTGCGTCATAAATTTATCCTTCATTAATTATAGTTTACGGTTTAACACTAGAAAGACTGGAATTCTGTATATACCTATATTGCTTAAAATCGGTCAAAATGACCTCATTCTGAAAGAATTTTTATTGTGTAAAGAAATTTTTTAAACTTATTTTTTAATATTTTTATTACAGTATTTACAATCATACAAAACGTTGTTATAATTTGTTTTTGGGGGGGGGGGGGGGGGGGGGGGGGGGGGGTTTCGAAAAATAAGAGTCCGGACAAAATGTTCGAAAGAGAGTGAAATCGTCTGGAAATATAAAATTTATTTTTTCCGATTTGTGGGTTCGTTTGTGTTTCTAGAGTAGCAAACGTTTTTCGATGTCGTTGTATTGATCTGGTCATAAAAGAAAGTTAATTTATACAATAATAAAAGTAATGTGATTATTTAATATTTCACAAGAGGTCAAAATGACCGATTTTAGCATATATAGGTATAGCACATGTGAATGCGGGGAATGAAAGAGGGGGTAAGCAGCTACTATGATTAATAAACGTAGTTCTATGTGGTACAAAAAGTCACCACATTTTGAGAAGCTGTGCCAAAATATACACAATTGTTTTTGTACTTGAAATTGAAAACCGGTCAAAATGACCGCCTTCGGCAATCTAGTGTTAAAATTTATGTTAGTATAATTTTACCCAAAAATATATTTAAATTTTTATGAGAATATATGAATAGACTTAAATACCACCACAAAAGATTAATCTTTTTTGACACGCCTTTCAACCGAATTGGCAAATTCTTGTTCTTTTTAGTCATGCTTGGTTCGAATAAGTACAGATAAAGTTATATTCATTCGCCTATACCAGTTCATATTGGATAAGATTTGAATATAATTTCCATACATGTCTTCCATTCGAGAAGAAATTCCTTTAAAATTCTCTTGAAATCATATTTAGATGTATCTACTGCATGTCTATTTAATTTTTTTTATAAAATATAATATACATTCCAAAAATTAATTGAATGTGGAATGTGCGTTTGCCCAAACAAGCTACTTTTTATTTATCTTATTTTATAAATGGAAACCCACAATTGCACATATATTAACACAAATTCACGCATTCAAACAATTGTTACTCTATATCGCAAATTGCTGCTATCTATCATATCTATGTTCATGTTTTTATCGAAATTTATTTTTAAAAACCACAATAACATTTTTAATTCACACTTATATCCAGCTTATATACACACAATATTTATTTATAGATAGAATACTCATACACATATATATCTATTTGTTTTTTAAAAAATTTCCAACATTTATGATGAACTGTCGGTTAAGCGATGATATTTGTGTTGAAAATATATTTTCACTCACTCATTTATTTCAATAAAACCACTAAATACATTAACAACTATAACCAATTTCATTTAATGAACGAATGTATTGAACAAAAGCAGCAACAACAACAAAAAAGTCGTTAACCACAAATTCGCCATACGGTTGCCAGACTTGATGTGTTGCGGTTGATATTGCAGGTTGAGCTACGATGATAGATGGCAGGCAATGTTATGACAATACGGCAAAACCATAATAATGTTGGCATAATATTCTGGTTAAAAACTATTGAAAGGTGCATGTGAAAAAAAACCACACAACAACAAAATAACGGAAATTATACAAATTGTAATTATAGAAAAAATGTGTTAATAAAACAAAAGAAATTTGTGTGGTGACGGTCATTACACTGCTACATAAAAATATTGACGGAATACAGAGTAAAACCAGTAAGGAAAGTAGTAAAGTCGGACGGGGCCGACTATATGATACCCTTCATAAATCAATCGATCTATGCAATATTAGAACTTTGGTACATTATTTACATTAAATCTGACGGAAATATATATATCTTAATCTGAACCGATTTTCACGAAACTCAGCACACATCATTCCAGGCTCAATCCTGTATGCTATACCAAATTTCGTCCAAATCGAAAGATTTATAGGAACTTTGGTGAATCTTTAACATAAAATCGGACGAAACTCAATTCAGTATGTTATGCCAAATTTCGTGCAATCGAAATATATATAGGGACTTTGGTGCACCATTTACATAATATCGGACGAAACTATATATGGGACCTATATCTAAATCTGAACAGTTTTTCACGAAACTTTGCAGACATCACTCTAAGCTCAATTCAGTACGTCATGCCAAATTTCGTGCAAATCGATAGATATATAGGGGCTTTGGTACCCCATTTACCTTAAATCGGACAAAAATATATATGTGGGAGCTATGTCTAAATCTTGACCGATTTTCACGAAACTTGGCAGACATCACTCTAGGCTCAATTCAATACGTTATGCCAAGTTTCGTGCAAATCGAAAGATATATAGGGACTTTGGTGCACCATTTACATAAAATCGGACGAAACTATATATGGGAGCTATATCTAAATCTGAACCGATTTTCACGAAACTTGGCAGACATCACTCTAGGCTCAATTCAATACGTTATGTCAAATTTCGTGCAAATCGAAAGATATATAGGGACTTTGGTGCACCATTTACCTTAAATCGGACG